TATATTCGGAACAAGTTAAACGTATGTACAACAGATTATTCAACACTATAGATAATATAATCATATAAACATTATACATGTAGTTCTCACCATCTTGTCAAAGTCCACTTCGGCCTATTCAGTTACAAATGTTTAAAATATTTTTGACTGTTCTTCTATGCTACAATAGTTTCAGAATATACACACACTGACAAAGTCATCTAGAACATATGAATTTAATATCCCGAGCGGGTACTTTCGCTAGTCTATAATAATAATAATAATGATAGTAATTAAAGAGCTTTTTTATGGGTGTGTGTGTGTGTGTGTGTGTGTGACCGCCATAACTTCAAGAGAAAATAACCTGGAAGTCTGAAATTTTGCATTCATACTAAGTGGACCCTGAGGGTGTGCTCCTGAGTATTATTACTTATCCACGTGCGTGCGCATTTTTTTATGCGAAAAACCACATAGAAAAGAAATTACAGCCATAGCTCTAAGAGGAAATATCATAGGAACCTAAAATTTTGCACCTATACTAAGTGGACCCTGCGAGTGTGCAGCTGGGTATTATTACTTATCTTATCCACGTGCGTGCGCGCATGCACTTGCGCATCTTTTTTAATGAGGCAAGATAGCGAAAAACCACATAGAAAAGAAATGATTCATTATATAACAGCTTCTAATATATAGAAAAGCCAGTGCGTTTTGGTAACAATGCGTTCCATCAATAGCTTTTATGTCATGTTGCTTAGCAACAAAAGAATATAAATTATACTTATATGCTAAAATGGGTTCAGAATACACACATTGACATAGTCATCTAGAGTATATCAACCTAATAATCCGAGCGAAGCCTGGTACTTTCGCTAGCATATATACATATTCTAACCGAAATTTGGAATTCACCACATTAGTAGTAATAAAAAATACAGTGGTGCTTACGAACACTGTTAACTGTAATGCCGCTGTCAATACTGTCAACTGTAATAATCCTTAGATATTTATCACGAAAAATCCTTTTTTTAAAACAGCTTCTAGCAAAACTGAACAAGTCCAAGAAGGGAGGTAAATACACCGTGTAAGATGCTTTTTTTAAGAGACCGAAAGCTGTAAGAAAGTTGTTATAAAAGTGATAGAAAAGAATGTGGAAGTAGTGTTCCAAAAGTGTCCAGAAAAAACCTACCAAAACAAAAACAAACCCTGTACAGATTCATTTCAGTTTTCAAGTGTTGTTAAATAAGACGCCACGACAAATCTTTTACAGTATGTGGTATATATTTTTTTTTTTTTAAATTCGAGGCAGTTGCAGTTTTATATTTTATTTTACTTAAGAACAAGTTTATTGAAAATAAAGTACCAAACTGAACTACACATATAGGGTATTCGACATTTTCAAGGAACTATACTGGCGTGTGACAATTGTGTATTATTTGCTATTTATAACAGATGATATAAATATATATTGTCTATGTATTTATACACACAGAGAGTAAGGGAGAGGGAGAGAATTATTTTGTTCATATTTTATTATGTTTATATTCACGTTGACAATAATGTGTTGATGAAAGACTGTCTCAAACACCGAACATGTTTCTCCTTTTACAAGAACTGCCACTCTGGTCAGTTGAAGAAAACCAAACCATCATACAATTAATATAAACGTATGGTCAAAAGTCACATTTATATAATATCTTCTGATTTTCCTTCCTAATAGAAATAAAAGAAAATAGCGCTCTTTTATCTACACAGAGTTTCTATTAACCTGCACTATAATACATTTAAATGGCATAATGAAAGAGGCTGAAGATGGACAGACATTATATATATATATATATATATATATATATATATATGAGTGTGTGTGTGTAATGCATCAGCGAAAGTTTACTGTGTGTGTGTAGACACACACAATGAACTCATACAATGAACTTTCGCAAATGCATGAACATAGTGATAATTTATTTCGAAAAAATGTGTTCTTTTTTATTATCTATACTGAAAATATAATAATTCCAGCAAATTGACATTTCCTCTATTTTCCCTTTATTATCCGTCCAGTGGCTCAGGGCTAACCGTTTGGGCTTATAGCGCTAAAGTTCTGGGCTCTATTCCTGTGGTGAGCATAGCACATGTAGTCCAGTGTGCAGTTTTCGCTTAACCGTAACTAAATAAATCGGTTATTTTTTGGGTCGAACGTGGCTATCGCGTCGGATAGTGGATATGTGGGTCCGATGATGGAGTGTCGCTACAGCAAGAAAAGTGTGTGTATATGTGTATGTATGTATATATGAAATGTGTGTGTGTGTGTCGCACTTCACACTTTTCGTCCGTGGATACACCATAAGGGTGACGGTCAAATTCCACTGTACTGTTAGACAAGACTACCCTAAAAGTTGACTCTAGGTGCTGTTTACAAGATTCCTTCCTTCTAGTTTGTTAGTTCATAATCTGGGACGGCTAAAACAGACAACCTTTCAGTAGCCTTGCTCGAATATCTGAAAACAAACAAACAAGACTCATTATTATTATTATTTTACAGATGGGGAAAAAACTCGTAGCAACAACAATTAGAACAAATAAAATACTTAAAATATAGATGAACTAACGAATAAATGACAAGTTAATTAAGAGATCATTCAGAAATCTGGCTTTATACTCGACTGCCCAGGTGCGTAACAATTAGAATCGTGAAAATAAAAGGAAATTTTAATGTTTTATGAAGGCTACTGTACTTAGACCATTATGTGGAATTTTCTTATAATGGCCTCGGACTGCTCTGTCGTTTGTAAACGCGAGTGTATTGTACATAAATTTAAGGTATCATTATTTGTATAGTTGATAAAAACACGTTAAAAAGTGTAAAGAAGTCGTTTTGCTACATAAAATCATACATTTTGGAGTTGTTAGTTTGTAACCGTGAATGTTTAGCTAAGTCACGTATTGTCTTCGTCTCTTAAATCTGTGTATTATACACACGAGGCAGTGTGTGTATAACGGTACATTAATATTATTATTTAGGGTAATAACATTTTCATCAATACACGGTATCATTAAATGTGAA